CAGCGGCGTGTCCACGATGCCCCTGCAACAAGCACACGCACCGAGGGGTTAGGGGTGGGTTCTCCCTGGAAGGGAAAACAACGCTTTGAGGTTGTTGAGATGGTAATTCAGAGGGAAAACCGTGGAAGAGCACAGAAATTGCACAAAATGTGCACGCCGGACCTGCTCCGCCTCTGCTGGAAGTCGTGATGCAAACTTTGGTAGCACTTCTTTCACAGAATCACAGAATAGCAGGGGTTGGAAAGGACCTCTGGAGATCCTCTAATCCAAGACCCCTGCTAAAGCAGAGTCACCTACAGCAGAGTGCCCAGGATCACAAGCAGGAGGGTTTGGAATCTCTCCAGAGAAGGAGACTTCACAACCTCTCTGGGCAGCTGCTCCAGGCTCTGGCACCCTCACACCAAAGAATTTCTCCCTCCTGTGTGGGTGAAACTTCCTGGGTTCCAGTTTGTGCCCGTTGCCCCTTGTGCTGTCACTGGACACCACTGAAAACAGTCTGGCCCCAGCCTTTTGATTCCTGCCCTTTAGCTGTTGATCAGGATTGATCAGACTCCCTCTTAGTCTTCTCCAGGCTAAAGACCCCCAGGGGTCTCAGCATTTCCTTCTAAGAGGGATGCTCCAGGCCCTACTGCCTTTTATTTCTATTTAATATTGCCTATTGCTGCCAACAGGGAGGCTTAGAGGTTTTCTTTAAAGCGAGTACACACATACTATCTTCTTAGCTAATAGCAGTACCCTTTTACTTTTAGGTTACTCATTGTATCATCAGTTTAATTTTTTTTATTTTTTTTTTTAGTAGAAAACAAGCATAGCATTGGAAGCAAAAGCGCCTTGAACTGGGTCTGTCACAGCTCTTGGGAACTGTCGTCCTTCTACTGATTTCTCTTCTCCTCGCTTTGCAGCATAAAGTCACACAGTGTGCTTGTGTACAGCCCAGAGACTGGAAACAGCCCAACTTCCCATATGTCAAAAAACAGGGGAAAGAAAAGCCAGCACCCTTCTGGGCACCAGAGCCTTTCCACACTGAAAAGGAGAGGCAGAGATAAGGCACAAGATGCCCAGGGTGATTCTCCTTAAACCGATACCCCAACAAATCACCTGTCTTGCCTCTTTTCTGTTAATGAGCGACTACACCATTCATTAAAACTCTGCTAAGTTCATTTTCTTCAGGTGCCCTAAAAATGAGTGATGCTCCAGGAAGCACAATGCAGGGTGAACATTTGGCTGGCTTTTATGACTTTCACTGCAACTGATTTGTCACACTCCTCCTTAACAACATATTTGTATTTTGCGAAATGTATAATTTTTTTCAGCCCCTGAACAAATATATTTACATAACTGTGTCTAACGAGAAATTACATTTAACTTCTCAGAAATGACAATAACTAAAACCTGAACTGCCAATTCCACTTCATTAGTGTGGTAGAAATGCATTCCAAATGTTAATAAAAATTCCAACATGCTGATAAATTAGCGCTTCTAAGGAGCATGTGACACCTTGGTTAACATATTCAACCTCAATTATATTTCTCTTCAGCACCCTGTTATCTGGAACCTTTGCTGGCAATCAGAGGTGCTGTTTTTCAGCGGCCAATTTTCTAGATAATGTAGCTTATCAACACTGTGGGTAAACTTGCCAATGAAATCAGGCTGCACTGAACCACACACACGCTAATTGCATCTCTTTTTTATGCATATTTACAGACTGTCACTTCAAAGAAATCAGTGGCCCATTGAGGCAGCCAGTTAGCTGGAAGAATTGCCTCTTGCAAATGAAAATTAGCAAACAAGCTAGTGATAAATATGAAATGAACAAAGTATAAAAATACCCGTTTTGTTCTGAAACTTCATCGGCATCCCAATTTATACTTCCAAGGAAATCATTTTTTGAGACACACTGGATTCTGGGTATGAGATGTACCTTTTGTTTCAAACGAAGGTTGAAATCTGCTGTTTACTCCGTTATGAAGTGGAACTAATTCAGACTTTCTCCTAAACATTTCTGTTTTCACTAATCAGGAAGGATTTAAAATCAGCTTTATTTTTTACTGTAATTGTCAATAAATGCCAGAGCAGTTCAGAAGCACTGAGCGATGCAGCTCACTTAAGCTCCGGCAACGTAATAAAATCAAATATATTCCAGGACAGGACTACAGATAATTTGGTTATTTTCCCCCAAGCACAGCCCCCCTAGTCTCCCTCCTTGCTTTCCCAAACTCCTTGAGAACCAATTTTCTTCAGAGAGAAATGTGCTTTGAACAGCAGACGTGAAATATATTGGAGTCCTTTCCTTTACGCGCTTCTCACTGAGCTTACAAAACCATCAACATAATCGTTCTGGCTTTACACTGTCAAAGATCAGAATAAGGTCCATCTGATTTTATAAGTTTTTCAACTTACATATATGTTTTAACCCCAAGGGAACACAGATGAGGGAGTATGACACGCAGCCCTCCAGCATAACAGATTTTGCTAAAAAGAGGACGCTTTTCAATCTGTTCAGAAAAAAGGGTCTCGGGTCTGATCACCACAACCTGTAAATCACAGCGCTGTGCCTCTCACTGGACCTTTCTTCAGGTTCACTTCCAGTAGCAAAAATTCAGATGCATAACAAAACTTTGTGGCAAAATTTTTTTTTTACAGAAAGGAAAAAAAAAAACGTAGCGCGAAACTTAAAAGTTGCAAACACACATACTGATGGCACTATAAATATTAGGCATGTCATTGATACTACACATCTTCTGGGAAAGCTTTGGTGCCAAGTTGGGCAATTTAATGTTGTCGAACCCTTTTAGGCAGATTTTAGTTGGCTCCTAACCAGTTCCAGCAAAGACAACTGCCAATGCATTAATTCCCTACCTCATCTCGTATGCAGTGCTGAGCCTATCAGTACTTTCTGTTGCATGTCAATGTAATATCAAACTGCTGGTTCCTTAATGTTAGATATAAGCATCAATATTTCATTATTGATACACAGGACAATTGAGATGTTAGGGAAAAAAAAAAAAAAATCAAAACCAAAACCAGACCAAAAAACCCAATTGCCTAAAGCGTTTCCACTTTGAGAGACACATTAGGAAAAATATCACTTACCAGATACTTAACTGGAATTGTTACATGAGCTCAATCCCCAAATGAGAGCAAAAAAAAGATTCCATCTGTGTGTAACTTGATTTCTTTCAGATGAGTTATTAATTTGAATGAGTTAAGTACACTCCACTTAATCAGGAAGTGTTTAATCACAAGATCCACTTAATTGGGACATCTCCCATGGAATTAAGATTTAAGTCCAAGATACTTACCAGCAACGACTGCTGCTTAATGGGGATAGTAATGCTGCTTAATTGGGATGCCTTCAGGTGATGCTGGGGTGCTCCTCCTGCCAGCTCTGCCTCTCCTTCCCCTTTGACAGGGTACCTCCAAAACCTGCAGGGATCCTGCTCTGCCTGCCTTCTGATGCTTCAAACCCACCAGGCTAAGAGCCTGGCACAGCACCGTGTGGTTGCCTCCGTACCATCTCAAGGGAGCAAGGCAGGCAGGGGACAAAGCCCCTTTGCTCACCACAGCCCAAGCTCATATCCTTGCAGCCCAGCAGTGAGGAACATTGTTCATTCCCTGGGACTGCTGAGTTTCACTAGGTCCCTGACAAGCTGGCCTGGTAGGGGGGCTGGGGCTTGAGCTGAAGATCAGCTTCCAGCTGTTCATCCCAAAGGTCACCACATTATGGCATTTAATGCCTCACAAACCAAGTGGGGAGATACAATTATTCCCCAAAAATGGACACTGTTTCAGTGCAATGGCTGCAAAAACGAAGCATTCCAATGCTGCAGATGTCAAAAACCAGAGACCCTCAGAAGTGCCCTGCTCCATCACACCCTACACGCTTTGCATGGACCAGCAAAGGGACTGAACTACTCCATGGGCAGTCAGGCATCAGCCACCAGTCACTGCTCTGCAAAGGTCCCTATTCAGAAGCAGGTCACCTCTGCAGCCTGGCCCCCAAGTCCCTTTTGGGAAGACTTCAGCACCTACTTAATTTTGCTTGGCACCCTCTGTGTGAGGCAGTTGCACTAGGTGGTGGCAGAAAGGCTGAGGATGGTTTCCATGGTACATGGAGACACTGAATGCTGCTTGTAGCAACAGGCAAAGTTCAGCCAAAGCATCGAGGGAGTCTTGGCTACCTTCTCCCCATGGGCATGAAGCTTGCCTGGCCAGCATGAGAAGCCTGAATCTTCAATTTTATAAATGCAATAAATTATCCTAAGGGCTCTGCCATAACATTTTATGCATTGATAACTTTCATGCATTGCTCTGCATAAGTTTTATGCACTCATTAAGAGATTAAGTTGATAAAAAGTGACCAGAGAGGAAGAGGGGGAAAAGGCCAAAAGGTTTGCATAGTGAAATAATGTTTAATGCCAGACTGAAGTGTTTGGAGCTTCAGACAGAGGTAGGCTGAGAGTGTCTTCAAGCATTAATGCAACTGTGAGTGGAAGGGGCAAAATACTTAAGGACACACACATTTTACTTATGCAGAGATTACCCTGGATACCATCATGCCCTGTGTCTACCTCTGTGCTCCTCACACTCCTCAAAATCCCCTCCTGGTATAGGATGACTACATGCTAGGTTGGGCATCAATGCTCTGAAGGACTTGTTGTCTATTTGGAACACTTTTCAGCCCTGGAAAGTACTCTGGTGGCATCAACAGATGTGTTGTTGCATAGAAGGTAGTGCCTGGTGTTGGGTACTAAGTACAAGTGGGATGAAGATGCTCTTGTTCCTCAGTGAGTCATGTCAAGAGACACAACAATGATACCTGTGGGGGCCATGTCTCTGGGCATGGGTCCAAATCATCTCATAGAGGCAGAAGGGTAACCATGAATATTTATTCATCCTCAAGCTTATGTGGCTTTTGCTTGTGGTGAGGAGGGATCTGAGCTGTACAAACTGCTGGAGGCTCCTTCCTCTGAATACGACCCAGAGCTCTCTGGGCAGCCCTGGCCCAAGGGGCTCAGCCAAAGCTTTGAGCTGCTGGGAGGAAAACTCTGGCTGAAGAGCAGTTCAGTTCAGTCCTGGTCCCTGCTGCATCAGGGAGAACTGCTCTGCCCAGGGTGGGGGACCTTAAAGACAGCAAAAGGTTTGTCCTCTGCGTACCCTTTCTGTCCCTTCCTCCACAAAGAAAACCCTCCTCTTCCTGTTGCAGGATTTTGAGCTAGAGTTGCAGACAGGTAGGAGTGATCAAAATGCAACCCTGTTTTGGGTTGAAAAGCAGAAACAGAGAAGCGTGACTATTTTTTCTCCATGCTCTGACAACTGCCTCCAGAAATATAACTTCAAACATGAGTGCATGCTTCCAACTTCCAGAAAACAAAGAGTTTTGATCACTCAGTAGATACTTTTTAAATTTATGTAAACCCTCTAGAAATGGGTAATTCCTCAACTGAGAGCCTCCTTATTCATGATTGCTGTGAATGTGGCACTACTGTCCCACCTCTGTTGGTAAAGATTATCCATGTGTTTTCAGACTCAGCTCCTGCCAGGTCCTGCTGAGCTTCCCTAATTCCCTTCATCTCCCCTGGCTCCCGAAAGCCAGAGTAAATTCACCAGCACTAGTTGTGGGAACGCTACTGCAAAGCTGATAACATTGGCATGGGGAAAATCCCATTACAGAGTCAGATGCTGTTTAAAGAATCTGTGGCTCACGTAGAGCGATGGCTGGAGCCACTGGTGTAATTAGTAATAAATAATCATAAGGAAGACAGCACAAGGAAGTGGAGAGCAGACCGACAGTAAAACCAGAGGCACTTGCCATTGAGCTCTGTGAGGGTTTTTTTTTAATTTTTTTTTTTTTACTCCACTTTGTGGATGAAAATATGTAATTTGTTTTTGCTAATTTGATGTACATTATATCTTCATTATTACAATTTAACTCCTGGGTTAAAATCCTGCCCTTCTTACTTACTCTGATTGACTTCAATGGTCTACGGAATTTGACCGCTTCCAATTAACTCTATCCACTTGGGTTTCTGCTCAGCACTATCAAGCTCTGTTAATTGTTTAATAAAATGACTGTTGGGTACGTGTGTGAGGAACAGGGAGAGAACAAGCGTACGTGGCAAAAAAAAAACCTTTCCTTTGTGAATACCATAAAATAAACCATACAGCTTTAAGCCTTTAAAAATAAGGAAAATGTAATTTGTAATAAATACATATATATTTACAAAATTACACTTGGCCTCCTGTGATTGTCAGAGCTGAACAGTATCTCAATTACAGCAGTATAATGTGGCTTTTTAAGTGCCTATATATTTGTCTCCAGTAAAAAGGGGAAAGAAGTATTGTCTATTAAGTGTCAAAAGCCTTTTCTTTCACCACAGAAGGCTTGGACAGACTAAGGAAATATTTCATCTGGAAGAGAAATGCTAAAAACTACCCTTCACACTGTTGGAAAACCTATTATCAAATGCTAAAACCTCTTCTTAAATCCCTGAGTATACACAGCAACAGAGCAGGCTTGGTTCTAAGTATTTAAACCTTTGTTAAGGAAAAGACAACATAAAAAGGGATGCAATCCACCTGCTAATTAGAAACTTTATTTGCCGAGATACCATTCGATTGAGCTTTTTAGAGCATTTCATTCTCTTTGTACTTTCAGAAGGAGTCTATGTTTTACTCACGGGGAAATGCAGTTGACTTTTACTCCCCTGTCAATCCACTCTGTTCCCAGTGTCTGGGTTACCTTCACCACCCCGGCTTTGGAGGCGTTGTACGCCAGCTGCTTCTGCGGGTGCGGGACTAGAGGGATTCACAAACAGGAAATTAGTTCTTCTCCACAAATTAAGACAGCTTAGGCACCACGTGGGCAATTACCTGCATTGAGATGAACTATTTGGCCGTTTTTCTTCACGCTAGGCAGGGAACAACAAGAATTTAGCTACTTACAACACAAAATTCTACACCTATATTTTGCCGTCTAATATTTTGCCTCAGCAGCTGGGCTAAAAAAATGGAAAAAAAAAATAAATGAAAGGTTCCATATTTGAACAAAGCCAAAAACAATGTATTAAACACACATATGCAATATTTGACTACTCCCAAGAAAGAGAAATAATCATATACACACATGCACATACGTATACTATACACATCTGTGTGTTAATATGCAAAATACTTGTACACTGTAATAGTAATAAAACATAGTATAGAATTATATTATATATAATATAATATAAAATAATGCAATAGGTACAATATGATATCATGTAGCATAATATATTATACTATATTATATGCAAAATACTTGTACACTGTAATATTAATAACACGGTGTATAGCATAATGATATCATTTATGATATACAAAATAACACAATATGATACAATACACTAAAATGTAGCATAATATAGTATGATATATTGTAAATGCATAATAGATTTAATGTACACAGATTATATATAGCTTCTTGGGAAAGATTATTCTTAATTTTTAAATTATCCGTAGTCTGAAGCAAATACATCATATTATCTAATCAGTGTTTGTGTGGCTGTGAGCACAGGTGCATCCCAAAAATTCAGAACACCCACCACCTTCAAAATCTGAAGCTTTTGAAAATGTTTCAAAGATGTCACATGTCAGTCAGAGAGGGGAAAATGATCGGCTTGCTAATTACAATGTTCAAGCTTGTTAGTGCTGTGTGCTCAGGTGGCTCTGCCCCTCCATCAGCTCTCACACTCACAATGTTCCCGGGAAAGCTACTTAAGGACAAATCTCCAGGGGGTGTAAAGTGCTTTAAACCCTCAGGAGTCCAACCAAGCTGGGCCAGCTGCTGGGATTTATACCCACCAAGTGCCTCTCCTTGGACCTTTCTGGCTGCCACAAATCCAAGGCAAAGCACCGATCCGTGATCAGCAGCGTGCTGGTGCTGAGCATCTCTGAGCTGCTGATTCTTTCATGGAGGGAGGGTGGGGAAAACCAGTGCTGAAAACAGGAGTGACAAAGACAAGCCATTGTAGCCTGCAGGGTAGGGAGCACTGAACCAGGGGGGAAAGTGCATTGCTGCATTTCTGTAAGGCACAGCAGGCAGACCCCACAGCATCTGGATAAAAACACATGAGCAGCACTGGTGGGTGGCATTAAATTGGTCTTCGTTTGTCCACCACCACCGTCCATGGTGTCCCAACACATCCACTATTGCTTGCATTGACTTAAACTGTTGGGTTTGAGTATGTCAATTTAAAGGGTGGAAACAAATTGAGCCATCCCAACTCTGAAAGAGCCAGAAGCCCTGCTGCAAATTACTGAGCACGTGAAAAAGGACCTTTGGCTTGAACAGAGATGTTTGAGAATAGATTTAGGGCACACACATGATAGGAGCAACAATTAGTGTTTCTTGTTTTCTCTGCATGTGCTGAAGGTTTGCTCAGAATTTGGAGGCTTTTTTCTTGCTACAAAGAGCATTTCCCACCATGACCCCCCTCTGCCAGCATTTATTCTGTGCTCATTTTTTGTTCAATGTGAAGAAATTCAGGTTTTGACCAGCAGAACTGCTTTGCCCTCTGCGTGTGCCTGTTGCCCCCGAGACGCAGTGCGCCGGGTGGGCTCTCAAAAAGATGTGGGAAGTAATTTCTTGATTAATTGCCATGCATCAGCTCCAAGTTACATACAACTTCGGTAGTTAACCTTGCAACCTCCCAAAAGCAGTTCTGTGCTAAACTTTCCAAACATGTCTGTTTGTGATAAATCATTTGGCGTTTGCTAAGAGGATAAGAGTTTTGGCACTGGCTCTGCACCTCTGGTGCACATGGGTGAGAAAAGCAAGTTGCTGCAAGCTATCAGAATCAGCTTTCTGATTTGGGGTGGGGGCTGAGATGGAGTTTTCGAGAGTCATTCCATGTAAACGCTCCTGTCTTCATAAGAGTATCCAAGGAAGGCAATTCAGAAGATTAACTTTACCCCTCCAGAGACACTTGACCCCTTTCAATTGGAAGAGCCCAAGAAGAAGCCAACAGGTGCTGTGAAGCTCTGGCACTGGATGGGCTTTCTGCACCTGAACACCCTGCACAGCCTCCTCATCCCTCACCTCAGCTGGTCTCTTCTAGACAGAAGAGCAGTTCTGCAACCCTCTAGACTCACCCACAACACGGCTGGAGCTTGTGAATAAAGCTATGCCTTCAGCAGTGCCACCAGAAAAATCTGAGTTTGTAAGACTTCTGGGAAGGAAGGACACTCACTCCTGCTTCGTACAAATAAGATGGGAGGGAAGGAGACAAAAATGCTGACAACATCAGCTGCATTACATTTGAAACACCCAACACTACTTGTTTGGAACTTTGTCCAGTGCATAAAGCTTCTACCTTGACCTTGAAGCAGCCATGTAATGTCAAGGAAAGGTGAACACAGAGAAGACCAGACCACTTACCACTGAAGATATTCTCTGTAAAAACTACAGATCAGAGTTATACCTGTGCAAACCACAGAGCTGCAGCAGCCCCATCTCCACTGCTGAAGCATACGTCTGGAATAATTCCAGTGAAATACCAGCATCAAAATGCACATATGCAAAATGTATGCAGCTTATCTTCAATTAATTAAAACTGATTCTGAGCAGTATATCTGGAAAAATCACAAACAAAAGCCTCCCTACCCTGTTAAATGTCTCCTCATTTCCCTATATCTCTGAAGAAGGACTCAACCTACAACAACAACAAAAAAATATCCCCTAACTATTTCTAGAAACATTTCATACTTTGCCAGTTGGCCAACATACTTAAATAACCAACCAACCAACATATTTATTTAACATTCAGCAGATGGACATGATATGAACATCGTGGTTTTCAGTCGTAGTTTTATAACTACTAGATTTTTTCCATGCCAAGATTCAAACAGGTTCAGAAGGTAAACACATCTCCTTGTCTTTTAACTTCTGGGCTAGCATGCATTAACTTTCAATGACATTTAAACACATCTTGCAATGACCCTTCCAGGCTGCTCTCAGAGTTGCTTTCCAATGTTTGTTCCTGCTCCAGGACTTATACAGTCCTCAAATTTGATCCCCATGTGAGTCTCAGAGGACTGGAGAAGTCAGCCAAGGAGGTGCAGCCCCACGTTGGGGCTGGGATGGATGCTGTGGTGGAATGGCATTACCTCCTGGCTCAGCAGAACTGATGGAGAAGCCCTGGAAGGAAATGTCTCCCCCTTAAGCAGGAGAGCACTTCTGAGATGCAAGAGCAAGGCTGGGAGCTGTGCACCAAGCCAGCAGAAACCAGCTGATCCCAATGTCCAGAGCTCCAGAACTTTCTCTAGGGTGGAATGCTTCCTAATAAATTTTGCTTTGCGATGATGATGTGGACAGTGACAGTCCAAGCCCAGATCAGAGCCCCACTGTGCAGAGGGGAGCCCAAGAGTCTGGGGCATTTGAAATTTAAAGCTTTACATTCTTTTCAAAACTATTTTTCTTTGTGAGATTTTGTAACTCTACAAAGCTGGGGCAGAGGGATGGTGCCTGTGTTTAAGCATAAGTAAAACAGCTGGTAAAGACACTCGAAAAAAATATTAACAACAACATTATAAATGCATTTCTGAAGAAACATTTAAAGTTACTGTGCAATAAACTGAGCAGAATGTCACAGAATGTCAAACTGGGCACAGTAAAAATAAATGTTATTCCCAAGGAAAATAAAAAGACTGCATATTTATGTAACATTCAGCAGATGGACATGATATTAATACAGGGGTTTGCAGTTGTACTTTTATAGCTACTAGATTTTCTTGCCTAACTTGGCAACCCGAGGCACCATTTGATTTTTGGATTTGGACAATACTGCAACAGATGTCCAGACCAATAAAATAAATTCCTAAAGGGCTATGCTTAATTTGTGTAATTGATCAATTTTTGTTACATGGGCCTCAGTTCACCAGCATGTAACTGCCTTCCAGATTAGCTCAGCAGTAGGGATTTCATTCCATATGTTACAATGGTTTATTGGCGCTTTCGACGACTCTGCTGATTCAGCACCGTTGGTGGAGACACCTGTTGGCAACGGTAATGAAATAAAACCCCTGGGTTTTGGGGCAAAAAATCAGCACTAAAGCTTTTGGGTGGCTTCAAAACATCACAGGGGCACAGCTTCCTGCACTCAAACGTGTTTGGCTGGAATTACTGGGGAGTGCAGCAGCATCCCTCCCATGCCATCAGTGCATCAGAGTCAGAAAAGGTGACTCCACCTCTTCTATAAAAAGTAATAAGTGTGCTAAAACATAAAGGACAGATAAATGTTGAAAAATGATATCAATAAAAATTTTGTAGTACATTTCCTCTAATACAAAATGTCAGTGATTTACTCCTTCCCAATACAGGTTTAATTGATTCAAATAGCATCGGTAGTAATTAAAATATGGATTCTGAAGCACAACTGTTAGCTCTCATCACTCACCTATTAAACTTGCCATAGATGCTGTGTTAATTATCTTCCCATATCCTTGATTCAGCATAATGCGGCCTGCAGCCTGTGACAGAAATTAAAGGAAAGACCAGTGACCCTTTTTGTGATTGTGCTAATAATGACATGATAATAAATTAGTCTTCACTTTCAGAAGAGTTTATGTGCTAAGACATTTTTTTTTAAGCACTTCATATAAAAAAAAAAACTTGGTATAAAAATGGCTGATGCAGGAAAAATCCCATTGCTATCTCAGACCTTCTTTATTTTTGGCAGCATTTTTCCAAAATGATCACTGATGATAGGAATGGCCCCCTAAAGCTTTGTGATTTTCAGGATGCCAAACAACTACCCTTTAAAAAATCTGGCCATTCTTAAATGCTTGGGCAGCCAATAAGTACCAACTGCTTTTGAAAGTATTGACAAAAATCTGTGACTGATACGAAGCACATCTCTCCTTAGCCCCACCAAAACTAGGACCAATTTCAGCGTGATTATAAAGTGCTATAAAGTCTTGCTAAAATAAATGCCTTGAAAAATTATCACCCGTTTGCAAAACCAAACCAAACGAGCATTTCACACTTACTTGGCAGCACAAAAATAACCCTCGTAGATTCACGTTGAAAGTTTTGTCCCATTCTTCCAGGGAAGTGTCCTCGCTGGCAGAGTTCAGGTTGACCCCAGCGTTGTTGCAGGCAATGTGGACCGTGCCCCAGCGTGCCACGATGGCATCCACCATCCTTTGCACATCCTTGGGTTTGCTTATGTCTGCTGCCAGGGCCATGCTTTTAATCCCTGTGTTAAAATATCAGCAAGTTAACACAAGGATTCCTAGAGAAAGGGAAAAGTCTAAGTTATATTTCTTTATTAATTTGTATACAGATTTTATTTTTAATATAGATATGTGCCACCTTAATACATTTCTCTGCAAAATGGATGCTTTTATTGTAATACTGTTATTATAAAGTAACTAGCTGGTTTGTTTGTTGGAGGCAAATATAAAACCGAGGTTCTGAGTGGAGTCTGTCACTCCAGCAGGACGAAGCTTTGAACACTGCACCATCTTCTGTCCAAACCCACAACTGCAGCTTCCCCCTCCACGAGCAGTTCTGCAGAGACCATCGCTCGTGGGTGGATGGTAACAGCTCAAGAACACGATAAACCAAAGGACACTTTTATTCACTCCTGTGTAGATGGTTTTTATGCCAGTTCCCCTCAAAAATGCTGCAGAAATCAAACCAATTTGTCCAAGAAAGTGCTCCTGGAATGAAAAACGGCATCCAGACAACTGGGAGTCTCAGACAAAACCAAATCAGTTTTAGGTGAGAGTGGACTGGGAATGCCTGCAGGTTCTCAGGTATGGTCATCATGCTGCCTGGCCTTATTTATTGTAAATGACACTACCAGAATAATGCACACGTTCAGAAGTTAACAGATTTACTGGATTTGAAACATGCAGAAGTTGTGCTTTTGTTCCTAGAAAAAATCCGGGCATTGACTTTGGCACCAGTGCTGATCTGTAAAGAGCTTCCCTTAATTTACTATCAAAATCAGCTTTAAATGCCCTTATTATTAAATAAAATAAGCAACCTACTGAGACATCTGATGCCAATGGGATTATACCCATCCTGAAAATCAAACAAGGCTACACCAGTAAGGGCAGTGGTGAAATGGGTCTTAACTAACAAGGAGGGAGGCAGCCACTGGGGCTGAGCATAGGTCAGCAGCCACAAGCAAGCAGTGCACAGGTAGGAAATTCCAGCTGTTAAAGCAAAACTTTTACTTCTATCTGAATGTAAAATTTATTCCCCTTGAGTCTCTTTTTAGAGACCATATTCTGATAAATTTAGAACTCATCAACCTATCCTAAGAGAAAAGGAGAAGACCTTCACAAAATGAAGCTTTGAGATGAAGGCTCTCATGAAAGCAAGGCAAAGCAGTAAGTGCCCAGTGATGTTTGAAGAACAGGACAGGAAAGTGGCTTTTGGACAGAAAAGGGCCTCTTGATCTCCAGTGCCCGCAGGAGCCTGCCAGGGCTCACATCCCAAGGTGATGCTGGTTTGAGGTACTCCCCACACTGGGCCATGGGACCTCAAAGGAAGACACGTAGTATAGCCACCTACAAAAATGAATGCACGTTCTGCCACAACACAAGACCTCTTATTTTATCACAGGTTTTATGCTAAATATGCTGAAAGAATAAGAATAGCCAGAGAGCCCCCATTGCTCCTCCTAATTGTTATCAAGGCATGCAACGTACAGGGAGCTGCTGCAATCTTTCTTATTCAATTTACAGGCAAAACGGGTGCAAGCCTGTTACTAATGGTAACAGAATGAGGCTCTTCACCTGCCCTCCAACTCTCACCCCATTTATGGCTTCATGGGATACAACAGTTCACAAAAACAAGACAAAAGGTGTCACACACGAGTGTCTAGTGAAGAAGCAATGAAGGCAGGCTTACTTCAAACCAGAGTCCCACACTTGACCTTAATCAATTCAGCTGATATCCCTGCACTCTGAGAGAGGGGGAGGAAACCACTTGCTGTCTCTCTGAAGTCCCCCCAAACCATTTGTCAAAAATAATAAATAAAATAAACCATGGAAAAATAGCTTAAAATCTATAGTCCCAGCTGGAGGAAAGAAATGCAGCACGTGACTGTGCTACATGCATGGCAGTGGCAGTGCATCTACAGTCCTCAGTGCAGTTTTGTGATGCTCCTGGAGGCAGTTTTGTGATGAGAGGGGCAGGAGAGGAGCCCAGTGTCTCCATGCTGGAGAGGCATCCGTGTGGTGCCTGAGGTGCCCTTCTGCAGGGGACAGGCACACGGCCCCCTGCCACGGGCTTCATCTCTGGTCTCTCAGTGTAAATGGCAGTAATACCTTGTATAGAGACAGGAAGATCAGAAGTGACATTGTGGGGAAGGCATTTGCATAGTGTAGAGTGGAAATGCACATTTTAAAAATCCCATCAGGCTAATTCTTCCCTTAAGGTACAAGCAGTGAATCCCCCCAAAGACAGAGGGGTATGGAGTGGAAGGTAACCCTCAGGAATTTTTGGTTACGTTTCATCATTTTTGGTTGTTCTGTCAGGATCCATTAGCAACTGTGGGAAAAGGTATTCACGTAGGATCTAAAAACAAAGACCCCTGTAGCCAAGGGACAGACACCCGAGCTGTCTAACAAAGCTAAAGCTGAGATCACAGAAGTTCTGATGTGTAAAACTCATCATGAAATGATGACACCATCCCAAAAGACAGCAAAGGTCTCCTTGGTGTAAGAAGTAAAGCAGGTTTAAGAAAGGTAAGCAAAATGTCTTGAAAGAATATCACTATGGGACTTGGTGCACTGCATTTCCAACTTAGAAGATCTCTGAGTTAGAGATCCCCAACCAAAGAGAGGGGGGTGGAAGTCAGAGCTTCTTTGTGCTTATTATAGCAGGAAAACTATGTATTAATACTATGGTTGCTTCAATTTACTTGTGAATATTTTGAGAGTGAAGCTAGCTGAACCTTTTTGTCAAAATTTATTTCCAACAGAGTATGTTACTTCTTTGAAGCCAAAATGTTTCATGGAAACATATTGATTTCAACAATAGTTTTCAAGGGAAAGCTTCTGAGGTCTGGGCTAGACTCTCTAGTTACCTCTGGAGAGAAAGAGATTGAAAACCTGACCTTTTCAGATCCTCTCCAAAAACAGGCATTTGGATATAATTCCCTTTCACAAAAAGCATTACAAAGTTTGGGGTTTGTTCCAACGAGGGATGACAATAAATTCGAAGCCTCAGAAACCGTCATGAGGTAGAATAGATGTGCCCCGACCAGCTGCACTGGTCAAGTGGATAGAGAAGATTTGACCTCAAAGGATAAAGATGTGTAAAGCCTGAGAAGTGAGGTTTTTCTTTCCTTTAGACTGCAATAATATTTGCTACGCCTCATGACCTCCCCGAGTGCATTTTGTAACCCCCCACCTCCTCCAGGCTCGCAGGCCGCCGCTGAAGCAGCAGAGATGTAGGGCAGCTATTGAAGGATGGATAATCAAACTCCTACTGAAAATGCCCTGGAGATAAATTAAGTTAGTTTTCCAATAGGCTGTTGGCATCCAAAGTCTCGTGGCTCTTTCAAGTAGCCCATTTCTATCTGAATAGCTCTACTTGATATGCAGGATCTCCCTGTGAGATGATGTCCAAAAGGCAAGTTAACTTGTAGGGCACAGCTACTTTGTACCCAGGCCATATGGCTTTAATGCATAAGAAAATGAAAAGCTTCAGTAAGAGGGACTGGATGACTCAACAATTTGTGCTAGGAGCTGGACACTTTCTATTCTAGGTCATTATTTGGGATCAGACCAGTAATCAAGGCTTTAACCAGTGTAAAGAGCCTCCTGCTTTCTAGAGCTGGGATGGTATGGACTGAGGTTTTGTGTTTAAGATGCTCTCCATGGAGGCTCAGGATGGCATCAAAACCAGAACTGAACCACTCCTCAGGCTGGCATCAAAACCAGAACTGAACCACTCCTCACCCCTTACTTACAGAACTGATTGAAACTGGGTGACAAAAATACATCTGCAGGTCCTGTTTTTGCTGGAGAATATGGTTTCCTACGGCCCAATCCCTTTCTGAAGTCAGAATGGAAACAAATACTGGTGTTTTTATCCAAACAGAAATGTGAAAACTTTCTGAGTAAAGCTCCACCTTTAGAAGCAATGAAGTACTGAACTTTGAAGAAGGCTCAGCTGAAATCTCACAAAAGGAATTATAAAATGAGTAACACTTCCTTTCTTTTCTCATTAAAATTATATTTCCAGTTTTCTTTTTCCCCTTTACAATTGCAGCTTAGCACGGCTCTAGGGGGAAATTCAATTTTATGTTACATTTTCTGGTTTTACTGCTAAAATAGAAGGATTTTACCTCTTATTTGGGATTTTACTTATCACGTCTATTAGTATTTGTTCCTATATCTGACCTTGCAAGCATGTTTGAAGGAACTATAGCTGAGGTTTAAAAAAATGGCTTTGCTTCCATTTGAGGGCACAGTGAGAGATTTAGTCTGACAATACCTCTATGTTGTTTTGGTGTTTTGGCTCCTGGTCCAGACATTTGGAATGGAAGAGGAGCCAGGGAGAAGGGTATGTGCTAACGAGTCCTCTCACGCATCCTGTGTGGAGCCTGAGTTGCCTTGGCTGCTGCATGACTGAGTGAGGAACATCTTCTCTGTTTGCTCAGGCTCTACAGAAGGATTGGCCCTTCTCAGTCCTTGTCAGCCAGGTTTGAAGAAGGAAAGCAGCCTGTTCCAGCACTCATCACCAGCCTGCGTGCAGCAGGACCTGCAGGGCAGCCCCGTGCTTACCCTTGAGGCTGAGCTCACACGCCACCGCTTCTGCCTTTGCAAGGACCAGATCCACGATGGCTACTTTAGCACCAGCTTCACCCAAGGCATGAGCAAAGGCTCTTCCAATGCCCTGCCCTCCACCTGTGACATAGGCCACCTTGCCATCCAAACGCAGACGGTCCAGGATGCGGCGCCTCTTATAGCCCCAGAAGACATCATCTCTCACCACTTCTTTCTGAAACAAAAACCATGCACACATTGCTCCATAAGGGTAGAGCTCAGTGAGGGACAGCTGTGGAGGACTCTGCCTGTGAGGTGGAGGTGGGGGCACCAACAGGGATCCGTGTCCTCTCAGCCTATTATTTAATACAAAAAATGTGGCTAATTCGAGTCAAAAAGCACTGCAGATATTTGTGTTTATAGGAGCACCAAGGTAGAAGACAACAGAGCAGAAGGAACCAATGCACCAACTGCTCCACCTACATGAGAGCAGGGTATGGTATTTCCTGACCCAGCTTCCCATGAGACAATGTCCCAGGTACAATGTCTTAGAATATGACTCATGAAATCTTCCAGTTATTTCAGCCCCAGGGCTAAATCTTGGAGACTCAGCTGCCTCCAGGAAGAGAACGAGTTTCCAAAGGCAGGATTTGGCTCAAGTAGAGTGCAATCAAAACATCTTCACAAGGCTGGTGAGCAAATAAAGCTATCAGCCAATAACTTAAACCAAGCTGTCATCTGATCAGCTGCCATACATCATTTCCCCCCGAATGGAATCAAAATGGAAAATACAAGATGTTTAAAATATTGAGTTTGAAATGCCAGGAATTATCACCAGTGGGTGTTGCTTTGGGACCCTGCAGAAACTGCAAAGCCATCAGGATGTTTGGGTCTGTGTTTACTGAGTTAGGCCATTCTGATTCCAGCTGGGAATTTCATTACAGCTGGATGATGCCCACTACATAAAATGGAGAAAGATAAAAGCACCATCTTTTCCACAGGACAAGCAAAATCTAAAGCCATGAAAACATTCAGCTCAGACACCACAGGAGGGCATCACATGCTGCCTTTGGGCAAAAAAAAAAAGAGCTACTGCAGAAATATTGCATTGGTTCATTCAGTCTGGACTGTGGCTCCATCTGCCCACGCTCCCCTGCACAGGAAGGACCAGAGAGCACTGGGCACAGACCCTTGGTGAGCAGCATGCCACCTGCTCTGGGGTTTGCCACAGCACCAAAAGACTCCACAAGGAACGAGCATTTAATAGCTGTAGTATCACCCAGGACTAGTGAGGATCATATGTGCCAAGCTCTAAGCTGGTAAATCCATGCTGCACAGCACCATGGCACAGCAGAATGTGAGTCTGGGCTCCTGCCACCAAACCTCTGAAAATTATTTTGTCATTGGCCTCAGCAGAGTCCAAATTTTCCCTAAAGTGTTCACAGAGAGGAAATACACACCTTGGGTTCAGTCACTGCATCTGGAGGTACTGGGCTCCTTCGAATGATGCTCAGTCCATTCTGCACAGGTAGAATTATCTGCAAAGGTGACACAGACACAGTTCTCAATCGCTTTGGAGCTGGTGTCCTCTCACCCAGATTCCACTGACATGAAGGATAGTCCTTCCTTCCTTCCTTAGGCCATAGTAGCTTTTTGACTACTGCTGTGCTTTAGCTGAAATTCCTCCCAACACAAATATGCCAGGCATTGGTATCTGCTCACATTCCTCTTCCAAACTCATGGCTTCCACAAATGCCAGGGAAAAAAATGCAATTTTGTCTCTCCCTTTTCTAAATCAGTGCCAGCTGCTGAGGTTTCTGGGTTTCCACTGCCTGGCTAATGCTATCATGAGGATATTCCAGTCTTATCCTTGGAGCTCAGCAAACCATATAATAGCAACACTTTGGTGTTCTTCAGCATTTGCTGGAACATCTGTCCTGTACCCACAGATGAATGTCAGTGGGTTTTGACACCTGCCTTCTCTGATACCATTATGACACTGTAGAGAAAGCTGTGCTCAGTGTTGGAGGTTCAACACCAACATCAAACCATTGGAACATGAGATGTGATGACAACGTTTACATGCATTGAATGACTTGCAGTAGGACTCAGTGCATGGAAACTATCAGTAACCTTTCCCTCTTCTACAGAGCAAAGCTGCTGCTGCTGGTACATTCATTATGTTGATGATAGAATAACTACAGGATCACAGGAGGCACCTCTAGAGGCTGTCCAACCTGCAGATAGACAAGGACCTCAAGCCCCTGAGGCACACACCAAAACCCTCCAGGCATGAGCCTTACCCCCCTGTGCCGTGGAGAGCTATGGCAGGGGGGTGTGGGATGGAGGTGACACCTCGCCTGTCCCACCACGGGACCAGCCTTACAGTGCAGGAGGACAGGGAGGGACCCAGCCATCCTCAGTGGCCCCCCCAGCCACAGCAGCCCCTCCACCACCCTGGCCCAGCCATGGCATGAGAGCAAGTCTGGCAGGCTGGTGGCTACTGCCCTGGGGTAGCATCAGTCACATCTACTCCCAGCGCTCTGGAGGGTGTGTGTCTGATTTTCCCTCTGAAACCACAGGATGATGTTTATGCATCCTACTTCTTTGGTTTTTTTCTCCTGCTGGAGTAGGACTTTGTTGACTCCTGTTGTGCTGGTGATGTCCTACAACCTCCAGAGCCTTTAAAGCAGAGTGACAGTTCCCTGGTTGTATTGTAGAGCTGATTATTCACTCTGAAGTGCTCCACTTTTATCTTGCCTTTAACACTCTATATGATGCAGACAGAAAGTAGGGACCATTTCTGAATATAGAAACTCATATACATAGAGCTCAAGTGAGGTGAATTATAATAAAATTTGAGTTCATTTTAGGTCCTCTGGATAATGGCACCAACAAAAGAAACATTTTAAGGAATACTTTGCAAAACTCATAGATACAGTACCACGGGCACCTCAGCCAATTGCATTGCACTAACCTGCTCAACACGAGGATCTGAATTAATCACTGTATTTAATTTCCTGACAGCCAGTACATTTTCATCAGATATGTTCTCCAGGTAGACTTGTCCTTTCATGAGTGTATTCTCTACACAGATCACTGCATCCATTCTCAGCAAGTGGTTATCCATGACAAAGCTGTAGTAGTTAACAGCGTTCCTTTGATCAGCATCAATAAAGACTATATCAAAGTGCTCATCCTCAGCATGTAATGCCTAGGAAAAAAAAAATTATATTGGAGAAAACACTAATTATTTACCTGAAATCTAAAGTCTTGCTATTAAAATGCCCTTTATATAAAACCCAAACTAGAGGGAACCTTGTTCTTTTAAGGTAACATGGCTATAATTACTTCTGGAGATCTTGGGAGTTTTCCATGCTTTGCAAACAATTCTTCAGTAACATTGGTGCCCAAAACTCTCAGCCTCTCATAGAAAATCAGGCTGCAAAAGAGGATGGCTCATCCCAGCCTGTGGTGTTGAGAGTCACAGCAGCAACATCTGCATATCCAGAATCAAAGGGAATGGATCTATCAGGGTAAAGGAGAGGACTGGCATCAAGCCCTGTGGCTGAGGTGCTACAAGAAGTTCTCTCTTCTCAAAAGAGTAACTATCAACAAATTGAAGAGTGGCAATTATATCAGTCTGGGAAAAAAGAGGCATAAGGGTGATCCTGGGAATTGCAAACTAGCGAGTCCCACTTCAGTAGCAGGAAAATGGTTGAAATCCCAATTAATAATAGAATTATAAAGCACATAAAAGAACAGGTCATGCTAGAGATAAAGCAGCACAGCTCCTGTGAAGGAAAATGATGTTTCTTTAATCTAAAAAAAAAAGCTTTGGATAGCTCAGCAACAGAGAGGATAAAAGAGAACTGGCTGCTATCATCTAATTGGATTTTCAGAAACGTGGCACACCTTCCCTCCAAGCAGGCTGCTGATGAAAATGTATAAAAGTGTTGATGGATGACCAGATGGGAGCCTTTACAGCCTTCTCCTGCGGCAGTTAATGCACTCGCTGCCCAAGAGGCTGCTAGGGAATATTTCAGATTCCATCTGGGACTATTTAACTGCATCTGTGTGCGTCGCAGCGAAGCAACGGCTCATCCACCTACCTGGGCAAGCAGAAACGCTTTCAAGTCTTGGCATTTGGAGTGAAAAGAGAAACAATTATGTTTTCCAGAGCTCCCTGTTTCTACCACAACTTTTAACAGTACTTCTTGCATCCAGATTTCCCTTTTGTGTTTGGAGACGTTGTGCACAAGGAGTGATGAGCGCTCGCCCGAGATGTAGGAGAGAAAGCAGCAAAAGGCAACAGAATGTGGAAAACTGATTTGTTTTCAGCAGCGAGGCTGATGGCTCCCAAACAGACTTCAGGAGCCTTTCTGAAGCAGGGAATGCGTCACTCAGAGGAGGAAATAGCGGGAAGCAGATCGTTGAAGCTCTGAATTGCTCTATTGTGCAAACTGGTGTCATTGTGAGCTTGTTAGTGGTTAAGATGTTAAGCCAGCCTGAGAGCCTGGGTCCTCACACAACTGCAGGTGCTTGATAGCACAGAAGCTCTGCCAAAAGTGTTCATGAGTCCATATTTAGGGCACCTTTTGATACCATGCTATAATGGAAGAAGACCTTAAGGCCAGATATGTGATAGCTTATAATAAATGCAGCAGAAACTGGGGCATCTGGTTTTTTGGGAATCATCATTTCATGACCAGTAAGAGAATTTTGCCTTGGTTCCCTCTTGAGTTGTATTGGGGAAAAGAAGCTGGAGCATTTTTGCTACTGTGGAAGAGCATCTCACATCAGGTTGCAACTCAGCCAGTCTGTCCAATGTGGATACTTCAGGAAGGGTCAGAAGGTGAAAGCTGGGAGGAGTCCATCAGGAAGAGAGATTAGAGGTCTCATTCCCCAGAGAGCAGAGTCAAAGCCAAATTCAAGTAATTATCATGACTTATCACTACTTTCTGACTTGTAACCTTCCTGTGTGGAGGAGGTGGGGGGCAGGCACTCAGAAGCAGATGTGGCCATCTCTGAACATATGTTACTATTGCTCCATGGTATGGCTCCCTAATGAAAAAGAATCTCTCTTTTATGCATTGACTTCATTAGGTCCATATGGAGTTGTGTAGCTCTTTGGATATTGGCTGGACTCTGGTACTTTCTGTACCTGCTGACAGCTTATCTCCTTCTTATCTATCTTCTGATACAGATAAACTACCTTTTAACTCCACAGCTTTCATCCCAGGAGGGTGCCTGTGTGGTGTGTGTACCCAGCACACGCCTCTCTCGTCCTTGCACTGCCTGGGTGTGTGAGGCCACCGTTTGGAAGGCATTTCTTCTCTACCAGTTCATCAAATCCAGCCATGAAGGTCACTTGGGCACCTCATTTCTTCTAGATATCCAGTACTAGACACCAGCATAGAAATGCCTGAATCACTGCCTTGGAGTTCAGACTGGGACCCTGCCATCCTCTGAGCTTCTTATTTCCACAGCTTCAACACTGCTGCTGAGTTTTCAATATTTAGCTGGAAACAGCTCCGGGCCTTCAAGGGGAACCCATGAAATTCCTTCAACCAGCTTTGCCTCACAAGCAGCCTCTACAAAAGGAGTAACAGCCACAGGAACAGGAAAATGCTCCGTTTCCTGAAGCTCCTTGAAGCAGAGCACAGGTCACCCAGGCAAGCAGTCACTGTGCCCAGGGTACCACACTGGAGAGGGTTTCCTCA